CCCCGTCTCTAGCCTACACTCTCTTCGTAGCCAACTCATGTTAACTATTGGACTTATAGTTCTTAGTGACAAGTGACTTCTCATACCTCGTGTTCTCCCCAACCAGTTCATACTATTCAGATTGTTACTAGGAACCCTAACCCAGTTAGGCCCCAGTAGGATCTTTAACAATTACACCTACGCCCATTTCTCTTATCTATTATATCGTTCCCGGATAAGACTCGCGCAATCATTAAACTCTTATACGCTTTAATTATTTCAATATAGCCTTTAGAAGACGAGAACTTTTCTCGTCGTTTTGCATCTCCGAATACATTAGAATGGTTTTGTCTCTTAACGTTAGATATAAAATCGCGATCTTATAATTCTCTTCGTCTCTTCTTCTTACGACTATACCCTTAACTCGAACGATCGGTGAAGAATATATCTACTAAGGAAGGTGTTGAGTACTCATCGTCGCGAACTAAGCTAGAGCGGTGTGGAATCTATTCTATACTAGAAGATCTAAATATAATATTGTCGCCTAACGAACTCTATATCTCGAAAAGTCTTTAAGAGAAGCTACTCGGGAAATACGCGTCGAATAATATATTATACTTACTACGAATTATTATAGATTATAACTAGATATACATTAGATATCTTAAAGTCTTTACTCGCGAATAATTATCTTATTAGATTTAACACGATAGAGCTAATTATATTAAGATCTAACTATAATATTCTTATAAGAAGATATACTTACCACTCTTATTATAACTCTTTCTTAATTCGGCGATAGTATCATCTATACTTCTTTCTCTTTATTAGTAATCTAAGAATATCCATTCTCTTCCTTAGAACTAAAATTACTATCTTCTTTAACCGATAATAAATCTCTCTAGAATGATTTAATACGTCTTCCGGTTTAATCTTAAGAGCGTGTAAAAGTAAGGAGGCTATTAGAGAACCGACTACTCGACCGGTTATTTTTAACTCGACGTTTCTTTTCACTTATATTAATATAGAGTTCTCTATATACTATCTCGAATTACGACTATAATGAAAAGAAGTACGCACTTAGTGAATATTAGAATTTAATTCGTATTCTTACGTAACTTTTATAAGAGAGCTACGTTAAGAACTACGTATTTAATTCTAACATTGACTTAGTAATATAGAATTTAGTGTACGTATCTATTTATCTTCTCCTTGTCGCTATAGTAGTTTCTTCTTCTTCTAGATTAGTAGCTATATATTTTAAGTTAGTGTTATATACTATATTACGATTCTCTTTATCGCGTCTTATCTTTATTTTATTTTATACTATAATGAAGGAGATAATAGTCGTTATTAATAATTTAGAATATTCGGTTAGAGCTAGGGATCGGATAAGTGCTCGTACTTCTCTAAAAGCCTCGTAGTAAGAGATATTCTAGTCTAAGAAGATAAGAATGAAGAGAAGAGTAAGAGAATTAAAATAAAAGCCATAACGCGTCTATTAATATATTCGTATTTAATCTTACTATAATTAGCTTAGCCGCGCTAGATTTAATCCGATCTAGTCGTTTCTACTATATTATAATTTATACTCTTCTATCTTATCTTCTTAGTATAGTCTTTATAATATAGTTTATCTCTCTTTAGATTACTCTATACGCTATAGCTAAAACCTAAAATATCGCTAGCCCTAGCTACGTATATCCTATAACGTAGCCTTCTATACTCTCTCGTTCGATACTAAGATCTTCTCCGTACTAATAGAATTATAGCTAAGTATATCGCGGCTAAAGATAAATGTAAAATTCGCGTTTAGAATATTTATAAATTATACGAACTATAGATTCTCTAGAGAACTCATATAGTTATAGCTTCGAGTTGAAGAGAATTTCTCGAGACAATATATTCTCGCTCTCTCTTTCTCTTATCGTCTTATAACGATAATTTATGCATCGAAATAGTCAATATTCTACTATATCGCTATCGTTAACGTTATAGATTTAGCTCGTTCTTTAGATAATTTCTATTTAGCTGGTTATGCTGGTATTAATTCACCGAACGATTCGTTTAAGTTTAAACTAAAACCATTCGCCGTAGTCCTATTTACTAACTCTATTAAGCTTCGTTTAGTCACGGGATATACGCGTATAACTACGCCGTATATTTGTCTTCTCTTATCTCGCTATAGTCGTCTCCGATAATTACGACTTAGCTATAGCGCTAAGTAACGTAGATCGCTCTATACCGTCTTTAGATTTATCTTTCTAAGAGTATTCCGATACTGCCGTTTACGTAGTATTCTATCGATGGCCTTGTTCACGGCGTATTGAGTAGCTACCTCTTAAATACGTTTACCTAGTACACTAGACTCTTATAATACTTCTTAAAATACATTGTATATTATCTTATATTCCTTATTCGAAGTACTTCAACGCGATTTAATATCTATAATACTTTCTACTCGTCCCTTAGATTTCGAATCTATCTGCGGAGGTTAGGGGTGTACGGTGAACGAAGTAGTCGAATAGTCTAGTTTCGGTGCCGTTATTCTTACTAGATAAAAGAAGGAAGAGAGAGGGAATTAAAGAATTTTCTTTTCGATTATAGATATTAAAGGAATTATGATATACTATGGGAGAACGCTTAGTGATCTTAAATATAGTAGTTAAACTAAAGATTTATTTATACGCGGAAGCTCTATAGAAAAGTAAAGTTACTATTACTTAGAGAGAATAAGCTTTCTCTTTTAGCTTATTCTACTTATTTCTAACTATATCTATCTATATCTATAACTTTAACTCGAATGTCGTTAAGACTACGTTACTTCTTTCTACTTAGTACTAGCTAATATATTCGATTTTATCTCTCACTAAAGAAGTACGCGAAAATAGTACTCTATACTAAGTTAATAAGTTTTTAGCACCGATTTCTTCACCACCCTATATCTTTTATCTATTTAAACTTCTAATCTTAATTAGTCATCTATACCCCGTTATCCGTACTAAAGAAAGAGATAATATTATTCGACACACCTAGGAGGCTCGATATAGCGCTACCTCGAAGAATATAAACTAAGTTAATATCGGTAAGTAAGGAGAAGTCTATAGCGGTAAAATACTCGCTACTCTAAGGAGAATTAATCTTAATCTCGGTACCGACTTAAAGAATTTCAGACTAAATTCTTCTTAAACTTACGGTCTCACTTTAAATAAATACTTCCTTATTATCTAAGACGTATAATACGAAGCGAACACGACTTATTCTAACGTTGACGCGAGCGTATTTAGCTAAGAAACCGGGAGTATCGATCACGAGGAAGTCGATGATAATAACGTTAAACTTCATTCCTTGATATTTATCGATAATTATAACGACTAGAGTAGAATATTTATTATCCGTATATATAAGTTTAGTTTTTATATATAGATAGAGGCGGTATTGCGCGTTATATCCTATAATAATAGCGATTTATACACTAAATATTGTATTTATTATCTTTTTAGCTAGTTTAATACTTATAATAACGAAGACTTTATTAACGCGCGAGCCGCCCGGGATAATATAAGTTTTATAAACGTTTTTAAGCTACTTCTTCTAAGACTAAGCTATATTTTCCGGGTTCGATGATCTCTATGAAGAAGAGAAGCGAATATTAAGATAAATAAAAGTGCGCTCCCGGCCGTATTAAACCTTATTTTATTAACGAAGACTCGCTTACTAAGGTCGCTTCTTAAACCTTATATATCGATTATCGACTAGCTTCTTACGATACCCGAATCGACTAACTACACGAGAGATATTAGGCGCTATACGGTACTATTTAGTGAGAAAGACGAAGAGAACATCAGCGTTAATTAAACGGGCTATCTAAGAGTATATATACTACTTCTTAAAGAAAGTAAGAGTCGCCTTATCTCTAATGAGTATCGAGAGCTACTAGATATCGTCGTAGTAAGCTCTTAACGCAGCCTAAAGATAGAAAGCGAGAAGAGTCGTAGTCACTTACTCCGATATTTATACTACTTCGTCGATTATTATAGCTACGACCTAGATAATATATATACTCTAGACCTTAGTCTTAGACGCGAGTACTAGAGTGGTATAGATAACGGCGGCACCCTTTAAAACGATCCGTCGATCTTCGCGGAGTAGAGAGGCGAACTATAGCGATTATTTTAGATTAAATTATATACCTATAGAAAACTAACCGTATATCTTCTTAAGTGACGCGATCTTTTCTATATCTTATTCCGTAGAGTCTATCGGGTTATTCTTTTCTTCTTTAGAATACACACCGATAAGTTGCATAAGACGAAAGCCGATGGAGAGACGAAAGCCTTATACGGTGACGCGAGGATCGTAAATTAACGAAATAGACTACTTATACTAAGCTTTATAGGCCTCGTATATAATAGACGATATATTTATTAATTTAATTATATCATCCGCTTCGTCGTCGAGAGTGAACACCGAGTTAAGACGAGTAAATTTCAGTTTGCCGCGTCTTAAAAAGCCCGCTTGTCGCGCGATGTTTATCTCGGTCTCGACGGAATAAATGCGTACCGCGTATTATTCATTCTAACTTTATATATTGCGAATCTTCTTATCGAAGGCGACGACATTAGAGTTCATATAGTTATTAGAAGTAACGGTATATAAGACCTAACTATCTCTTCTATTCGCGATAATAAATGACTATGCGAGATATTAAGTAACGTAAGACTTATCTATATCTAAGAGTTTCTATATAATAACGAAATTAATTAGTGCGTTACGAGCGAGTTAGATAATCTGCTTCTATTCCTCGTTAAGATCGGTTATATAGTCGTTAATACTAATTACTACGTAAGTAAGAAACGAATAGACATCGTAGAAATCGACGTAGATAATATTATTACTAATAATAAAATAATATATTTCTTCGAATCTCGAATCGCGTAGCGATATTATATAAGAGAGATAAAATAGAGTAAGGCCGGCGACCCGATAGCGATAAGACTTATCACTTAATACGAAGCTTAACTCGATAAAGATAAGTCGAACTTTTTAAATTTCCTCGATCGAGATAAACTATATTTCGGTCGGAAGTAATAGAACTTAGTTAGAATTAATCTTAAATAAACCTAGATAAAACTTCTAAGCCTCCGTATTCTAACTTATACTAAGCTAAACGATCGTAAACTTTAGTAAAATACTAGATAATAAAGCGATAACGACGGCACGAAGACTAGTTATAGAGTCTTCTATCTCGTAATATATAACGTTAATAACCTAATTCTCTTAAAGACGCGTCGCACCGTTAGGTGTCTCGAAAAGACTAAGATATATACGATCATCGTCTCTAGAGACGCGCATTAGAAAGATGAAAGTTATAGTATACTCGTATATCTCTAACTTTATTTTATCTTTCTTATACTCTTCTAGATCGTCGATATATATAAAGATTAAGTACTCGGCCAAATTATAGAAGATAGTTCGTTCCTCTATTTAGAAATGCGTAAAACGATTTCCCGGAGAAATAAATTCGTTGTGCTAGATGAGAAAGCGACGTTTATTAGAATAGATTTAACGACTTAGATAGATTTAAGGCTCTTCGTACTCTATAGCTTTTTATAAAGCCATAAGATTTTAGGCGACAATATCTTTACTTCCGAACGTGTAGATATAAACTTTAAGCTTAAGATCCGTGTTCTAGGCGAGTTCGAGATAGTTCTTAAGTGTGATAAGAGATTAGTGTGGGTTTAGAACTAAGATGTTTTTAATAGCCATTATATTAAGATTAAGTAGTAAAAGTATCTCGTAATAACTAGGCTTACTAAACATTTCTCCTAAATACTGGAACCCCTTCCTAAGAAACTTTAAGATTCCCGGGGTGAAGAATACGGTATATAGAAAGCGTAGACCGATATACATTACGATGTTATCTTTATAATCTATACGTTCATTTTAGTAAGAAATATAGACGTAAATATAACTCCGATAATAATTAATCGTAAATCTAGTTAAATAGCTCTTATCGTAGTAGAGCTCCTTATTATTCTATATATAGAGCGTACTAATATAGATAACTTCGGAATGAGCGAATATAATGGTATTAATATCTATATTCTTCATTATAAATAATGAATCGATAGTAGAGGAGTCGTATATTAATTAAACTAGCTCATCGAATGAAGGGACTATCTTAGTAATATTAGGCTCTTCTTAACGATTATTTAACCGAACTCGAGATAAAAGTAGCTTAGCCTTTAGCGGAGAGACGGCTAGAATCTTAACGATAAATAAAATTAAGTCATCTAAGTCTTTATTCACTTATATCTTAGCTAAAGAAGAAGAAGAAGTCTCGACTATAGGCGTAGTAGGGTTAGTTTCGTTCACTTATATCTTAGCTATAGAAGGAGTAAGAGTCTCGATTAAAGAGATAACTAGTAGACTAGTTAGATATTTATTTATTTATTTTTAAGTTTAAGAAAGCTAATTATTAGCTTACGCATCGCTCGTAATTATAGAATTATCGGTGTCGTCCGCTATATTAATAATAAGATAGTATTTAATATAACTCGAGAGATATAGAGAGTATATACTTAGAGAAGATTATATAAGTAGAGAGAAGAATAAGAATAGAGAGTTTAAATCTTAAATTCTAAAGATTAAGATTTAAAAGTGCGTAGGTGAGGTCTCTTTTTCGCTAAGTATATACGAAGTAAAGATAGAGAAGATAATAGTAAGGGAATACTAATATAAATCGTATTTACGTATAGATTAAATTAGTAAGAGAAATAGTCTTAATAAATATTAGTAGATTTAAAGATAAAAGTGAGTAGAAAGTAGAGCGTAGAGCGTAATGACTCGCTCTAATAGACCTTTTAAGCGGCACACCAATAAAGAAGAATAATTAATTATATTTTAAGTTCTCCTTAGCTGTCGGAGACGAAGAAGAATATATTTTAAGAAGAATATATAATGAATGAAAAGATAGTTATAAGATATTTAGTCTAGTGTCGAATATCGCCTTATTTACCGTCGTAACGTCGAGCACTAAGAATATAGTAGTGTACTAATGTCTCCTAGGTTAAGGTTCATCTATAAAGCGAGATTTATAAAGTCGTCACTCTACGTAAGAAAGCTACTATCGACTCGACTAATAACGCCTTTACTAACGATACTTCTACTGCTATAGAGATTACTTAGATAAAGAAGAAAGACGAAGATTATTTCGTAGAAGAAAATATCGTCTTCACTATATCTTCCACTAAATATATTTTTTTTCTTTCTTTCTCTAAGTTTATTTTTTTTTCTTTATCATTAAGTATACTAACTCTATTCTCATTAAATCTACTAACTCTATCAATGGTGCTGTTACTATTAACGGAAGTATCTATAATATCGCGGTGAACGCCGCTACGGAAGTCATTATAGCTAGAGTTACCGAGACTCTTACCGCCGCTATAGACGCTACTAGGAATAACTAAAAGCTTACGTATCTCCGATAATATCTCTAGGGCTTAACTTAGAAAGAAACGTACAAGGGAGCGAATTTAAGCTCGAGCTCTTTTTTCTTCGTAATGAAATAGATAAAGACGACGAAGAAATAACGAAAAAGTATAACTCGAAATATTGAAATACGTACGAGAGTTACACGGGTTTATATAAAATCTACAAAGAAAAAAAAAAAAACTGGGTAATTAATTAATAGAGAGCTAAGGAATCTATCGTTGATCCACGAGATTATATAGCGTCCTCGAAGATATAATGAATATAAATGACTTCTTAGTCTTAACTTTTTCTATAGAAGATGAATACCTCTAGAATATAAATAGTGTAACGAACTTAACTTCATCGGATAGATAGCCTTATAGGTTCCTTTTTATTAAAGCTTAGAAGCTAGTATATAAATATTATTAATCTTCTCCCGTGCACCGCGGTTAATTTTAACTCTATTATAGATCTTAGGCTTATTCGATGCGAGAGTAATTAATAAAAATAGTCTCTGTTTAGAGAGAGAGAAAAGAATAGCTAGGATTTTACGAATCGCCTTTTTATCCAGAGCTTTCCTTAATTTTAAAGGTAAACTACTAATTATAGCGTAGGATCTAGACGTTTTCGAAAGTTTACCCGTCTAGTGTACCGTTCTTAGTAATGTAGCCGAAGAATAACTAGACTATTTTCTATGTACTATTATTTCTGATAAATATTAGTTCACGGCGATAGCTTTAGATTTTAGTCTCTATTAGACTCGCCCATTATATAATTACGATACTTCTAACCGCATCTAACATCCCTAATCGTATCTAACACTTCTAGCTATATCTTTAGTCTTGGAGGTGAACTATTAATTATAGCGTAGAATCTAGACGTTTTCAAAAGTCTACCCGTTCGGTCGCACCGTTCTTAGTAATATAGCCGAAGAATAACTAGACTATTTTCTACGTACTATTATTTCTAGTAAATATTAGTTCACGGCGATA